CTCTACCCCACTCAGCACCCACAAATACGGGGAGAATAAGGAAATGCAAAAGGCTAAATTGATGTATGCACTAATGATCTTTCTGCAATCCACAGGAGGAGGCTACCAGGTCTTCGATAAGTCAAATCTTATCTCATAGTGGTTATCTCCAAGGAATAACATGCAATAATCCATGTATGCTTTTATTTTTAATCTATAGCTGGTTCTCTGTGAGGCTGAACAAAGACACAAACGCATTCAGGATTCTACCAAGGGTGCATCTGTCTCCAGATGAAAGGATCTTGACATCAAACTGACTGCAGCTGGGCTAGAAAAAGTTTTAAATCACTGCGATCAACACAAGTTTTGCACCAAAGTACAAACACAGGTACCATGATTTCCTCTGGGTGACAGGCAAATCCTGTTACTCTACTTATGAATGGGTCTCATTAAGTAGAAAAAAATTGTTGGTGCAACCTGTTCCTTTTTAAATTAAACATATTAAACTTGATAGATACCCCTAATTCTCTGCTCAGCCTTTTATGCATTGCAGTAACACTGCTCCCATTGTTAGCAAAAGTCTTCAGTTTGCATAATCTGCTTTTCATTTCCCTGGCAGCTGCACATCACTCTTGGTGACTAAATTAAAACCAGTCTCTTTCAAGAATCCACCAGATCTGTCCTCCTTTTTCCTCCCTGTACCTACAAGTTAGGAAGAAAATAACAAAACAAAACCTTACCAACAAGCATTAAATCCTATCAAATCAAGCTGGAAGGTCACCTCATCCAGCCCTCTGCCCTGAAGCAAAAATCAACTCTTCTTAAGCCATCCCTGACAGATGCTCATCTACACCCACTGACGATTTCACAGCCCGCTCCTTGGCTCACCTCATGGCTACAAGCTTGACCTAAATGTCCCTTACCATAGTCAGTGGTAAGCTCTTCACTGCATGTCCTGCCCAACTGGACTTGAGGAAGACTATTTCTCCTTGAAGAAGAGTATTTTGTTTCTCTTTAAAACAGTCCTTTACGTGCATGTCAAGCTTTCCTATGCTTTTCACTCCTTGTTTCTCTTTTACGAACATACCTGTCTACAACTTTTCTGAAACACAGCCCCTTTTCAGAGCCCAGCACTCCTAACAGGCAAGTCAAACTGCTCCTCAGCCCACTTCTGCTCCCGCGTCTGTTCCTGATGTCTAGAAGTGAGTGGAGAAGGCAGGAGGTCAAGGTCTTGGCCTCCCAGGTCAGCAATGGACCGGCAGGGAAGAGGCATTGAGAGGACACTAGGATGGCTTTTAGGCTGGTGTACACCAGCCGCAGCCGGTCGCTGGTATCTGCTGGTGGCACTGGCAGACGGGCTGACCAGAGCACACCCAGTTCCCAGGCAGGCAGCTGGATCCTCACACAACACATCCAGATCAGACAGCCCAACCACACCAGCTTAGCGAAGCCCAGCGGTGTGGACTCTGCCATCACTGAGGGAGACACCGTAAGTAGTGAGGAAGCACAGGGAGTGAGCTGCGTGGGTGGAGAAGTGTGGAAAAAGGAAACAGGAAGTTTAGTAGAAGAAGGGAAAAGCATCTGAGACGATAAATCAAAACATGCAATGACCTGCTTTCCTCCACTTGCCCCTTGCTACAGCTAACCTTGACTGCAAAAGAAACTCCAATTTTCCAAAAGTTGGCAGAAAGAAAAACAAAGCCTGAAATCCCACAATCAGTTCAGAGGCTTACAGCGGCGTCTAGCACTAGCATTTTACATGTCATGTAACAAAGCACTAAGCCTAGGAGTTTTTTTTTTTATTTGTGTAACTAAGTTGACATCTTTAACGACAGGGCATGGTTTTGCCAGCACCCAGCCTTGTGCACACAGACCTCCTGGCTCTTCTAGCCCAGTGAGGGTGCTCAGTCCCACATTTTGGGCCACTCTTAGTACACTCCACAAGTATTGTTCAGCACCCAGCACAAGTGAACCATCCAGGCCAACGTGCCACGCCACAACCAGAGGTTATTGTAGGTGCCCAGGTCTGAAAATGCCCACAGTCACCAAGTGAGGCTCACCTTGGAGGGCAAGGCAACTGGCAGTGCACTGCTCCAGACTCTGCAGCGAAGGCACAGCCCTGCTCGGGATCTCCTCTGGTGACTGATCTGCACTCACATGCTGTTCCAATCACAGCAATTTTGCATGATACCAGCTGCTTTTCCGGATGTAGGGAAGAACAGGCCTGACAAATAGGATAGTAAACGCACGTTAAGGACGTTACTCCAGAACTCCCAGCTGTTACACTTCCACTGTGAGAATTTAAAGGTATCTTGTTAAAGATGTAACACAATGTCAGCATTAACAGTTTCCTCCTGTTTTCCCTTCTAAATGCCCTATCCCACAGAGTTTTATTAATACAGGCTGAAATTTCAAGATTTAAAGGCTAACTAAATCCCACTCAAAACTTTCACACTGGGGATTTACTGGAACTTACCCACTGCTTACACTGCTGTTGGCTTTCTGCTGGAGGGGCAATTCTCATGTAGGTGCCTCTGGGTTTAAGCTGTAACATGCTGGCTGGAGCGGAGCTCGCATCCAGCCCCGCGGAGGTGGGGGTGCAGCAATCAGGCAGACAGCTCCTGAGGACAGCAAACCATACTCTTGCCAGGTTGTGGCTCTGCATGCTTGAGCAAAGACAAGAGCATCCCTTCTAGGCATTGCGTTTATTTGCAATTTATAAAAATCACAGGAAATGTAACTAAAATGCTTTTCCAGGGGAGACCAAAACTAACTTTACACATTTCCATACACAGAGAAATGACTCATGTAACCAAAACCAAACCAGTCCAGAGAAAGAGAGTCTCTCGTTACAGAAAGTGAACATGCCTTGGTGCAAGTGAAATGCCAAACGTTCGAAAATACAAACCCTGAGCTTATGAAATTTCCCATATTATTACATCTGAAAATTAAAAATGATACTGTTCTATTCTGCACATGGCTTAAGAGGAATAAAACTTGTATGTGCTGTCATTAGCCTACATGTAAGAAAAAATATATATAAAAAGATTTATTTTTTTAGATAAAAAGCACGTATATAAGAGTATGCCAATATTACCCAACGGATTGCCAATCAAACTAGCATTTGATTTCACCCACCTGTAACAAAATGCTGGATGGAAGAACAGAGACAACAATAAAACAATTTTCTGTTTTATAGAAAGGACAAAGTCATTAAAGGGGTTCATTTTTACATTTATTTGACAAAACGGTGTACATAGTGTTAATCTTTGCAGAACAATAATCACATACACACACAATGAATGATTTTGAGACCAGTGTGCGACAACATTGCATAAACAGTTCTTCTACAGAAGGCTTCCATTTCCAGTATTAAAATATATAAAATAGAGTGTGTCTTTTTTTATTTATCGTGGTGAGGTAAACATTTCTTCCTTCCAAGCAGCGTGCTTCTATGCACCTTCACAAGATCTGCTGACGATACCCCTCTCCTTCATTCAATCACTAAGTACATACCTAGTGGCATATTTACTGCTATTCCAATGGTCATACATTTTTCCCTTGAGCAATATGTAGAGAAAGGAATGGAGAAGAAAAAACCTACAGTAATTGATGACCACAACCTATCTATGCTATTTGTGTCAAGAGCCAGAGATTAGTGCAGGTAATTTATTTTGAATGTAACAGTTTTAATGGAAATGTCAAAAAAATTTATTTACATTTTTCTAAGTAGAACACGGTATTGATTAGAGCCGCTCAAAAAATCACAATTAAGAATTTATTAGACAAATTTTTACCTCTCTGCCCATTTACAAGACCAGATCATAATATCCACTCATTTGTTCAATACTGAAATTTATTGATGATTTTCAGCATGCAATTCCCGGGCTGAGTGAGATTTGCACTGAGTTCTTTAGTTACACAAGCCATTTGGTATCATCTCCTGTTCCCTGAAAGAATGATTTGTGTAACCAACAGCTTGAATTTTGACTGTTACAAAAGAATATAAAATCAAAATAAATCTCGGTCAATATCTGAGTACTGAAACTTTTTTTTTTCTTGTTAATATTATTACTGATGCCTGAGAAATCAAATACTTTAAAAATGGAAAAGTTCATTTGTGTTTTATTCTCAAAAAATCGGAAATGGCTTTTGGAAGGTAAATCAATTGAAGAATACTCCATGCTCCTGACAGAAAACTGTTTCAGGTTCTCATCTTATTTTAAAACCTCACAGCAGTGACATACTTATGAAAGAAGGTTATTTTTAAAAGTTAGCAGCCATTTTCTTACTGGCATACACATCATCCTAGAGCTCTCTGTATGGCACTGATACACCTAGAAATACTGCACCTCATTTCCAAAAACTAGAAAATAAAATTAATCACATTTTGCTGGTTTATAGGCACAGTGTAAGAATGGAAGGTCTTTTCACTACCAACTATTCAATCTCTTTTCCTATTGTGAGGTATACTTCGGCATCTACAAAAGAAAACAATCTTAAGGCAAAATGTGTGATTTCTAAAAAAGAAAATAAACATTATTCATTTGAATAAAAATAGATATTGTAAGCACTTTTTTTTACATTATTGTAAAAGTCCATAAAAAATAGAAACCCATTATTAGTTTGCTGATTCTTTACAATATTAAAAAAATGCATGAAAACATTGTTAAATAGGTGAACTACATGTGTTTGATTAAAGAACAATCTTGTTGATAGAAGTCAATTGTTAATTATTGTATCTTATCATGAGTTTATCAGTGACAATTTTGGGAGGAAAGTAGACAATTCAGAAAAACAAAATTACCAAAATTAGATAAGACATACAAACCTTTCAAGAACGTAGCTGCAAAATTTCTGAAGCCTAACTTGCACACCTATGGCCTGAGTTTGCCATTATCACAAATTAAGTCCACCAACACTGCTCACTACTTAGAAAATCTCCATTAATCCTCTCTGAAATTACAACAGGAATGACGTCTTGTAAAACACACACTTTCCATAAGAACATCTTCAAGATGTTATTTTTTGACCACACTAGCCACTGCCTTCTTTGCTGCATCCTCAAGGTCATTTGCAGATGTGATGGGGAGTCCACTTTCATTCAGAATACGCTGAGCTTCATGGACATTTGTTCCTAAAAAAGAACATTAACTATAATTAGTAATTAATATTAATGAAGAAATGAACATCTTCTATTAAATCTCTATAAAAGTAGTTAATGCTTCAAACTACACATCAGTTCAGTTTAAAAACAGATTCAATGAGTGGTTTAGACTGAGAGGAGAAGAAGGAACTCTTAATTGCAATGACAATTTTGACAGACAATGCAATCGGATAACAGCACTGGCATCCACAAGAGCGGCTTTGTGAAGATTAGAGGGTCAGTCCAACATCCACCAGTCAGTAGGGACACCCAGCAAGAGCAATGGATAATGGGCCCTGTATCAGGCCTTTAAGGCACTCAGAAGATTTAATGCATTTATTAGCAACAATCAGCCACAGCTAATCAGCAGTCAGTGCATCAACAATAACCAAAACTCACCAGTGTTAACTGAAAGCTGCAAAATGCGCTGCTGAGTGACAAATATTTGGGTAATCCTGAAAAATCTAACTGGCTTTGAGCTGCTCTTGAATATGCTTTTTTGCACTTCTGCTAAAAAGTGGGATCTCTGAAGCATTCCGCCTGACATCATTCCCTCCTCTGCAGCTGCACTAAATCATCCCATGCTGAAGGAGACTGTACAGTTATACAGTACAAGTGCTCCATTTTGTACATAAAGAGCTCAAATTTAGTCAACAGACTACATGCACAGTAAAGGAAAACAAAACCAAACAACAACAAGCAACCAAATTAAAAAAGATATTTCAGGAAAGTACATTTTCCCCACTGTTCACATTTGTATAAGAGACAAGTGCACTGCCTTCCCATTTACCGTAGCTCATTCTTTTTGGAAAACAAACAGAAAAACTGAATTCTCCAGAGCTTTCTCCAGCAAAGCCAAGTGACACTTCTGATCACTGCTATGCTCTGCACCACAGAAGAACTTGGGAGCCAGATATTCTACTGAGGAAGTGGAATCCACACTTTGGGATCACACCACTAGCACAGGAACAACCCTGAGCTGATCCTCTTTAGGATCAACTCTACCTCCCCTCCTCCACATCAAGTTCTTTGTTCATTTGCCATGTCAAAATGCTTAATTACTTTGTAATTCCTAGACCTAGCAAAATGAATTTTAATTATATTTGGAGCTATACACTAATTACATCCTTAATTATTAACCAAGCAAGGAACATACTCTCTACTGTGCAACTTCCAGAATGCTCATTTTAAAGAGTGATTTTGGGTTTTTTTGGCAGACTTTACAAAACACCTGAAATCGTACAGCAGAAGTAGAGAAATTCAAAAGTCTGTTTCATGATTGTGCCCAAGTCAGGATTCCCACTCCCGGCACTGAAAGAGACCAAAGACATCCCTGTCGCAGCAGGCCCCGGTACTTTGTGATAGGAGAGGCAGGTGTCTGGAAGAGGAATGCGCGACCCCAGCTGCTAGCTGTTTAAAAGCACTGGCAGAAGAGGTCATGCTTCCCATCGACATGCAGAGGACACACTGCGGACCTGTGCAGGAAGGTCAAAGACATCTGAAATCTCCGACAGAACAGGGATTTGGTTGCATAGTAACATCCAGAACTGTACAGGACTTTTCCTACAGAAAAAAGAATGTTATGGGCAAAAAGAGCATAATATTTGGGTTTTTTTTTTTAACTATCCTGTATAATGTAATGTGGAAGCTGTTAATTGCCAGTACAGAAGTGTACAGGGAAGCCAGAAGGCATTACAAAGGTTCTTTCCTCTGTCATGTTCCTCACATTTGTATAGAGATTCTCATCACGTCTTGAAGGTTTTATCTGTTATTTAGATATAAGTGTGATAAACATTTAAAACAGTCAAGATTGTACCAATCTCTCAACTAGGATTCTACAAGACAAAAGTATTATGAGGAGAAAAAAAAGCGGAAAGCGGGGAAAATTTTCCCACAGAGAAAAATATTATGCTGTTTGTGATAGCCACATAGTATTTAAAACTAACTTTTACTCTTCGCTAAGTGGCCAATATTAATTTACTAACAGGTCAGAGTCGGAACAACACATTGGATCTATTCTGCAAGGCATCGATTGCTCTACACACCACTTGTCTAACATGCATTACAAAATCAATACAAAACACAGTCCACTAAGAAGGGAGGGGGAGTTTATGCAGACAAATGAAAATATGAAAGCTGCAAAAAAATCTCACTGCAGTCAAAAGAGTAAGGGTACTCTTTTTATTTATTAAATAAAATACTGTTTCATAGGCAGACCACACAACTAAACGTATTTTTAAGCAAGCATTTCCTTTGCTGAAATTTTCTTTTTTTAATAGAAGCTTTTTATCCCATTGTGGTAAGTACTTTAGATATATGGAGAATACACAAATTGTAATGAGATCCTACTGAAAGCAGAGGTAAGAGTTTTAAAATTAAATGGTCTGAAAACACTGGAAACATTGAAGAATCTTCAAAGGGTATCATCTTATTGCAGCAGACATTCAAATAAACAAATAAATAATCCCACTATTCTACCGTTAACCTGCTGCCACTGGATGGTGTCAGAGAACTGTAAACAGAATCCCAGGCAGAGGCTATCAAAATAACCTGCCCTTCACCTACACTGCAGCCAACTGAGAAACGGTGAAAATTCACAGGACTGAAGGCTATGGGGCTTCTGCTGTTGTTGCTGGGGGAGTTTCTTCGGGTTGTGGGTTTTTTTGTTCTGTTATTTTAAATTTGACTCCTATTAAGGCAATGGCTCTCTGATGAGAAAAATATTTTTTCCTTCTGACGCATATAACTGTCAATGACACTCAAGGGAAAAACAGGAAAGATATAATTTTATCAGCATATACTTTTAGGCTTTTTAATCTAAATATCCTCCTTCTGAAACTTGAGTTCCGAAATAACCTCTGTGTCTGTGTACATGCAATTTCTCACGTTTACACTTCTATTACCTTGAAATCTCCACTATCACTAGGAAAACGAATCTGTTCAACCCATTACTTAAAAATCCTAGTAATAAATATTCTATTGAAGCATGTTTCTACAAATTGCAAGATTATACCAGCACACATTGTTACAAGCGAGTCACGAGGACTGCATAGGTGGAATGAAAACAAATAAAACATCCCCAATCATATCCCAATAGGATTTCGATAATGTTCATTTACTCACTTGCATTGTCATAAACCCATCAGGAACAGGCTAAATTGCCACTGTTTAATGCTGATGGCTGGGAAGATGCAAGACTGCAATGCCATTTCTAGCTTTTCAGGTAAATAAGATATAAGGGGAGAAGACACAGTTATACACATTTGGTATATTCTAAGAAATAGAAGACTAACTTAAAAAATAATCGGATCTACTCAAAACATTCTGCTACAACAAAATATTTCACAATATGCAGCGTCTGAAAATTATTATCGATGTGAACGCATTGTGACCACGTTACATTATCAATAGCAATGGTTCAGCTTTGATACGCTACACTGAGGAGTGAATTAAGGGCCTAATTTCTCCCCCTGGCTTGGATCCAGCCTGTATCCCTTCTGCTAGCCCACAAGCTGGAAACTCATAGCCTGCCAGGTCTCAAAGACAGAGGCACTGGAGAATAAGGGATAAGGTTTTAAGTTCATCGCTAGCTAACCTTCAGTCAACATTTGATTTGAGGTTTGGCTAGTGATAAGCTTTCAGTAATGATCTTTAGCTAGGGAACCTACAATGTTTTGGTGGCTCACACATCTTGTAGCTGTTAGCTCTCCAGTCAAGAACAAACCAACTTTCCCTGCCTACTTATAAGAGACAATTAAACCCTTTCTATTCTGTCCACCACATTTGTCTTTTCCTATCTTAAACTTTTCCCAAAGAGTATTTTCATCATTTCCTCTGCCCCACATTTACATTCAAACTGGGAAAGACTAAAGCACCTTTAAATTTGTGTTGAACGAAAGATGTCTGAAGAGGTTGATACGAATAAATTTCTAAATGTGACTTTGCAATATCCCATTCTTCTCTCTTGATTGGCAATTTGGGATACTAAAAATCACAGGCATACACACTAAACCATATTTTTGAGCAAGATATACAAATTGGAGCAAAATTGCACTTGTATCTAAAAGATTTCTGAATATATTTAAAAAAATCTTTAGATTCTGAGGAACATGGAATGTCACGAATCATATGGCTGAAAATATAACAGAAAATTTTGGATTCAGACATTTGAATAAAAGCCAATTTTCTTTTAGCTGTGTATTAAGTAGTTCTAATTCCTCCCAATTCTTCTTGCCCTCTGATGAGAGAAGCAGAGAATTCATTTGTGGAAAGGGAAAGAATGTAAAGTTTCCAACATAGGAAGAGGACATCTAATTCACAGTGCTATTTTAATTCTTTCCTCTTTTCATCTAACTAAGCTACACAAAGGAGAAACAAGGTTTGGCTTCCATTCAGCGCTCCTAGTTAGTTTTCACAAAACTTAATTGAAATACATTACATATTAAAGGCAAAAAAAAATTCTGCACAAAACCAGCAGAAGTTTTCTACTGTAAAAGATAAAATTTGGAATATGTGGTTTCTCCATTTGTCCATGAGCCTTTTAAACAACAATAATCCTGTGTCTCAGCTGGTGAGTTCTTTACTGATAAGGCAAGTAAATACATGTAATTATAAAGTTACCATTTTCAAAGAGGAGAGTAATCCTTTCTTTATCCACTGGTAAAACAGCTTGTAATTATTATACAACTGAGAACAAAGATTTGTCCACAGAATCCTGCTAAATCAAGACAGATTTGACTGATTAAAACTCTAGTCATCAAGACATTTGTAACACAGTCCATGCGGGCAAAGAGTCTTTAAAGTGCAGGTCACAAATCTGTCAGATTTGTGGGAATAATCATGAACCTTCTGTTGAAAAAATGTTCAAAATGGAAATCTAAAATGTAATTGTCCCTTTTTCTTCTTTTGAAAGTGTAAAATGTTATCAGGGATGTTTTGAAAAGTCTTGGGCACCCTTATTACTTCCACAGTACTCATTATTAATTCAAAACCTTTTTATGTTTGGATAACCTGGTGTGAGTTCAAAGAAGAAAAACGAAGATGATAACGGATCCAGAGGAATTGATTTCTGAGGAAAGATTAAAAGAACCAAATATATCTATCTATCTATCTATCAATCTATATCTTGGCTGGGTGATTAAGGAGGCAGAGAAAGCAAGAGTTAAATGCTAACAGTTTCTAAATACAACATCTGAAGGCTGTAAACATCGTAGCTCTTTGTTTAGGGTGAATTGATGGGTAACACTAGGAATAAGAGAAGGAATTAAAAAAAACTTCTGAGATAAATATTATCCAAAAGTGAGAGTTTGCTGTATTATACCAGGACAGAGTTTCCTAAAGAAAAAGAAGAAGGTGGACGAGAAGCTCAATATGAGCCGGCAATGTGCTCTTGCGGCCCAGAAGGCCAACCGCATCCTGGGCTGCATCAAGAGGAGCGTGGCCAGCAGGTCGAGAGAGGTGATTCTCCCCCTCTACTCTGCCCTCGTGAGACCTCACTTGGAGTATTGCGTCCAGTTCTGGAGCCCCCAACACAAGAAGGACATGGACCAGCTGGAGAGGGTCCAGAGGAGGGCCACGAAGATGATAAGAGGGCTGGAGCACCTTTCCTATGAGGACAGGCTGAAAGAGTTGGGGCTCTTCAGCCTGGAGAAGAGGAGGCTCCGGGGTGACCTGATAGCGGTCTTCCAGTACCTCAAGGGGGCCTACAAGAAAGATGGGGAGAGGCTGTTCAGGAGGGCCTGTTCTGATAGGACAAGGGGTAATGGTTTTAAAATAGAGGGAGGTAGATTCAGATTGGATATTAGGAAAAAATTTTTTACCATGAGAGTGGTAGAACACTGGAACAGGTTGCACAGAGAGGTGGTGGATGCTCCATCCCTGGAGACGTTCAAGGCCAGGTTGGATGAGGCCCTGAGCAACCTGATCTAGTTGGAGATATCCCTGTTCCTTGCAGGGGGGTTGGACTAGATGACCTTTGAAGGTCCCTTCCAGCCCTAACCATTCTATGATTCCATGATTCTATGAAAATGTGGTATCGCTGTCTCTGGAGTCAGCAACTAGCCTAGGAGAAGCATTATTACAAACGAGTGAGGAAACATAGGAAGATGATCCACAAAAGATGTTTGCATTAAAAATCTGTCTTCAACAGGCTGAAGATTCAGCTTCAACCTCTGTGGATCAAGCACCAGACGACTCTCAAAGGCTGCAGGCACAAGAAGAACAGGCACCACGCAGTCACCTCTGCAAGGCTTTGTGCAACGCCCAGGTAGAAGCTCTCCTTCTCTGCACCTTCTCTTCCAGACAAACTCCACAGTGCAGTAGCACTGGGACCCTCCTCATCCAGCCCAGGGACTGCTTTGCCTTTTGCAATCTTCTAGCAGTCACATTTAAAAAAAAGTCACCCTTAGCTGTGTACAATCATGGAAGTATCAAGAGTACTGGAGAAAGGTCAAGAAAACCCAGCGGTAGACCTAGCAGACTGCAGTTTAAAATGAGCAAGCCAATTTTCTTGTTTCTCTTATACCAGTTTCAAATATTGCAACAGAAACAACTTGCAATCATCTTGTTCATAAGGAAGACTAACGGCTTTTCCAATATCTTTACTTAAAAAATAACAGCTACAATAGATGAGAAGTCTTACAGAGCTGACAGATAAACTTTTTCCTAGCTATGATGGACAGGAAAAGTTTTCTACTATGACAAAAAGCTAAACAACATTGCCTAGAGCTGATAAACAATGAGATTTTATATTATGAAACTTTCCTGCTTCTAACCAACATCCATCAGGCTCTCCTTCATCCATATTAAACTATCTGCTTACTCTTTTAAGGTGTTTAGTGGTGCTGCATCATCCAAAGAAAATTTTCACTATTTGTTTCTAAAACCCACTCTAGAGTATTAAATTTTTCCTGCACTTACTACAGCAAAAGGCAACCTATGTTAAACCAAGAATGCACTCTGGAAAGCATTCAAACCCTGCAGTGAAACGCACAGCAGAACTTCTACAGGACAAAATTCCATGTCACAGACTGCGGTCTCCCCTGACCTGAACTATGGATCACATGCAATGTAGCATGAGAACGAGGGACGGGGAAACTCTGCTTTCTCATGAAAGGAAAAACAAGTAACCTCATAACCAAAGGGCTTCATGGGTAATCTGCACCTTCGTGAGTCTTGGTGACTATATTTTTTGAAAAGGAAAAAGTCTGCTGTATTCAGACCATTTTTTCCTCCCCTTTCTATCATAGTGTTAGAAAAAGACCTTACTGGTTTGTATCTCAAGTACATAAAGGGATGCATGTCCTCCTTTCACCACCAATGCTGAGTGATAGGACATTTTACCCCCTTTACACACATCCAAACATGAATACTGATGTTTTTGAGGAACAGGCCTTAAAAAAAACCCCAAACAACAGAAAAACATCTATTTTTCCAAACCAACTTAGCAAAAAAGAATATTTTAAGCTTACCAGAGGTGTGTGCTAATTTAAATGAAAGCACTCTTTGATTCAATGGCAGAAGAACCTCTCTTCCTCCTTCAGAGTACTTCTCAGAAATTAGAGCTAGAACTCCACATCCACTGTCATTATATTAAAGCCAGTAACTGCAGAAGAGTGCTCTTCCTTACCTATTACTTTTTTGCTTCCAGTTTAACAATGCTGGATGTACTAAAAAAAAATATTCCTTACCATTGCCAAATCCTCTGTTTTTAAATGGATTTTAGCTGGACTGGATATTTGAGCAGAAGAACATATTACAGTAATTGCCCTCTCACAAATACTGTTTCTAACATCTTTCTTTTAATTATGATATTGGAGTAAATTTAAGAAAACTTTATGTTGCTGCAGGTTTAGCAATAATGGAATTGCATTCAGCAAAAATAATTTCAAAAAGAAATACCTTGCAGTAAACAGAAACTTGCATCAAAATAATTTCTATTTGCAATGCAAATGCTACAAGCAAAACCGTAATGCTTTCATTGCAAAACTTCATTGCTTCAAGTACCACCAGGGACCAGAGATACAGAAATATGTAAGGAAAGAGTTTATTGACTTCAGGTCACGCTGTGGATGAAGAATTGGACGTAGTCTCATTGTGTGGGACTAACCTGTTTAGATCTTAGAGATCGAAGAAAGCCAAGGTGGATTACTGTGCACCTGAGGGAGGATTTTTGTCTCAAACCATTAGCACTCACCTTCCAGTCTGACCACCAAAGGTACTTTCAGCCCAAGCTCCCGGCAGGCTTTGGTAATACCATTGGCTATAATGGCACAGTTCACGATCCCACCAAAAATGTTTACAAGTATTGCTTCAACCTGTAGGAAAGAAATAGAACAGGAATCAAGTGGGCTTTTTGTTTGTGTTTTGGCTTTGTTTTTTAAACAAACACAGGTAAACAATCCAAACCAAGGTATGGACTCCCCTTTGTCAAGCAGGCTCTCATTTATGGAAGGTACAAGCTTCACCTCTGTACTTGGGGAACTTGACCTGAGTCTATTGTTTGTGTAGTGTGTAGCAGTGATTAATGGCCTTGGTCTAAACTGGCATGGTAATTAATGTAATGAACACACTATTACACAGAAAAGGGGAATTTCTACTGATAAGTATAAATAAAAAGGAGATGAAACAATCTATATTTTTGGACTTTTTTTAATGTATTGAATAATCATCAGAGGTTGGAGCTCAGAAAACAGTGTATGAATGCGCAGATGCACATGAAATGAAATATTCAAGTGAAAACTTCACAGAACAATCTGGATATGCACTTTATCATAAGCCATACAGAGGAAAAGGTAATATACCTGTCCTGACTTGATAAAGAGGAGTAAAAAAAATCCCTTCTAATTAACAAGGAGAGGCATGTAATGAAGAATATGCATTACAACAGGTTAACTGATAACCTCAAAAAAATGCTATTCATCAGTTTCTGGAAACTGAAATTCCTGCACCTAATTCACAATTAAATTACCTTTCGCAACATACAAGACATTAATACATTTAAGATATTAACATGGTTTCCTTCTCCTTGGTAAGGCAGTATAACAGTGAACCCAAGTTCACACACCAGGCTTCCCACCACGGCTTATTAAGTCAAGGGGGACAGACGCAGCTATGCTGTTTCCCATTCCACAGTGGGGCTAATCCACAACATTCAGGGTACTCTACAATAAGCTTCACTGGGCATCACAAACAAGCTTTGCCAGAATCATGTTGACTCGAAAGAAGACAAGATAAAGAGGGGATTAGGTTTGAAGGAATGAAATATCACTGGATTTCACTTGTGCATGATGTCAACCACAATTATGCTTAACTCATTGCACAAGATGAACAGATTCACTTTGCCCACCTCCAGGTAGCCAGACTCATACCAGCACCAAGAAAATTCCCTGCAGTCACACACGTTTATAGCTCTGCACAATCAGGTTTAATATTTCTCTGCGGACACAACGTGACAATTAACTCCTGGGATGTGCAGTCACACACACAGATTGAAAGCTCACCACTGTTAGTAATACTGCCATCCACAATGCAGCAAGAAAAAAGGCAATAAAAATCTCAACAAATACTTTACTCCCCACAAGAAATTGGCTCACTCCTTAAGCAGTACCCTAGACTGGAAAAACATTACTTACTATAAGCAGGTGCAGTGTTTACACTGCACTATCAAACTCCAATGCTAACACAACAGTCGTAAAATAAAAACAGCAATGGGACCACCTCGTTGACATCTCCCTCATCACCTACTGCTCCTTCCAGCCCCAAGACATCTCTCAGATGCCACCCAAAAGTAGCCAGAACAGTTCCCATCTGACAATATGGGACATAGCTCCATTTTCTCCTCTCAAGCTTATTAGACACCAACTCTTTCATCTAGTGCTGATGTGCAAGGATGCTGCCTACCCCTGCTACTTGTCTCCTCTTACTACTTGCAGTGGAGTCATCCAGTTAAGGTTTGCTCACTCTTCTGGGCATCCTGAGACTATAAACAGAATTCTCGTGTGCCTTCTCAAAGCACGAAACAACTCTAATGCTATATAAATAGAGCAGTAATTAATAATAAACTCCCTCAAAAATCTCAATATCCAAATTTCTCCCTCTGAAATCAGGTACAATGATTCGGTAACACGTGACACCAACTGCTTCAGTTCATAAAGCCTGCACAGTAACAGCTTGCATAGGGGTCATGATATGGCTTCCTCATCACAGACAGAGCACACCAGGTATCAGAAGGAAATTAATAAACCACTCAAATAACAACATACAATTTCATTGATTTTATAACTCTTTCTTATAGTTTAGACATGGGCTAACAATTTAAATTCATGTTAAATGCATGCATTTACCAGTTTAGGGTTTTCTGGATATTAAATTGGTGATGCCATTGCAATTATTTATTTCACCTTTGCATTGTTACAAAATCCTTAACTCTGTAGGAGATACCAACAGTGAAACCTTAGAAGGTCCCTCCTCTGTCTTGCTCACACTGCTTGTGCTCATTCTTGGTGTTAGGAGGGAAAAACTCATAAAGAAAAAATTCAGCCCTTCAAACACTTATCACATTAACTCTCATAGTAGAGAGACGTTTATGCAAAGCACTTTGATGTTAAAATATACTAGTGATGATATACTAGTGATGTCTTCTAGCAGCAGGACAAGCCACAGACACCATTCCACCCTTTCTAATACATGTTCTTAATTCAGGGACAGTGCACCAGGCATGTGACAGACCAACTTAACCAGGTGTGTTTACATTATTAGAGATAAGGAGGAGGATTTTATGCCCAGTACAGATATTTTAATTCCTAATGCAGACATTCTCATTTAAGGATCTGCTTTTCAGCTTTCAAGCTGAATTCTAATCAGGTCTTCTAATCCATTGGCAGCAAAAGGAAAAAAAAAAACGTTGAAGGAAATTAGATGCAGCTTGGATAATTGATGTTTGTATGCTCGGCTTTAATAAAAATACACTGTTAAATTAGAGAGGAGTCTAAAAGGATTCAATCAATAAGAAACTGAATCAAGTAGAGAATTCAATCCTGGGTTTTACTGTAATCTTCCAAATAAGCCAAAAGATCGGTCCAAATGATGCTGAGATTCACTTTAACTCCACCGAAATTTGTGAACATTGTTTATATATGCTTCTGTGGCCTGACTAGGTCTTCCATTTCCAGCTGAAAGAACTTTAACATTCAGACCCAGTACATGGATGAAAAGGTTTTCAGTATTTCATGTGCACAGAGAATGCACAATCTCTGTGTTATTTAAGTCTACAAGAAAAATAAATCGCCCCTTGTATAACAGAACCACTACATATTAACAGGTTCGGTATCTAATGCATATGGAACATTAGACATATTAAGAAGAGGGCAAACAGTCTACATATAAGACAGGTTAGTTGATAGCATTATTATTATTATAACTACCACTTGTACCTAACAGTGTGCCTTCTAAAACGACTTTGTATTTCAGCAACATTATTAGGGAAAGTGAAGACAGCAGTATATCCACAGGTTAGGGTCTTTCCATCCACCAAAACCATTGACAGATGTGGAATCACCATCAAACGTACTCGCAACCGATTATGGACTCCTCTGGAGAGATAAGGGAACCCACAACAGCATGAAGACATCACCACCAGCAGTGGTAACAACCCACAGTCTGCCAGCTCTAAGCATCAGCGCTGGGAAGCGAAAATGATAGAAACTAAGCGAGTGCTGCGTTAACACTGTCTTTGTGCTAGATATGGTATTGAATCTTTGCAAATACTGCAATACCCATTAATCCCACAGCTCCTAAATGCTGTATGAACATATATGCAGACACACAGATAGCCTTTTCTCTCTTCATATAAGAAATTTATGTTTATTTATTTATGTATAGCTGTATCTATCTAAAACCATGTGGCTTTATTAATAAAACTAACAGTTTTAATTTACAGTGACTTTTTGTTAGAGTGAGCCTTGACAAAAGCTGCAATTACGCTTTGAATGTCAGGCCCCAAATAAACCCACCCCAGGTAAGTGTAACTGTAAACTAACTGAAGTAGTGGTGCTAGGAGATTACTGGTAGAATTGTATTGGATCACAGACACACTCCACAAGGCTGTCAGATTCCATGCAACTAAGGGCACTGTAGGTACAGCAAAAGCAGCTTTAGCATTTTTTCCTGCACTCCAAAAAATAGATAGAGTGTGTACGCATTTATTATATTTTTATCTCATTTCTTTTTTTTTTTCTCTAAAACATTCTTAGCCTTAACGAAATGCACAGTGACATCTGATCATCATACACTTAAGGACTAATAGGGGCAGCCCCTATAAAGCATTCCACCTCCCCTACAGCCCATTTATAAATCTATACACAGGACGTCTTGCTGTCTGCAGCCGCCGCATCCCAGTCTGCTGAATATCCTTCAGAGTCCACGCAAACACCACAAATTCTGCACACAAAAGTAGAGAGGACGAAAACTTGACACTTGCAGTTGTTACTTATCTCTCATCTCCCACCTTCGTTATCCCCACAGCACAATTACAACAGGCTTAGGATAACAATGTGCCGCAGCACTGAACAACGGCAGATACCTCCTACAAGGTAAAGCTCTGAACCACACACAAACCAGGAATCAAAACACAAATGCAAATTAACTCAGGCTGAGGTTTCATAGTCATTTGGAGATGATCTCAGTATGGGCAGCCCCAAAGAATCAGTCTTGCTTTCCCCCTCCCTCCCCCTGCACACAAACACCCCTCTCCTGTGCTCGTATCGGCATCTGAGCCACGCGGATGCCAAAGCAGCTCCTGGATCCGACTGACCCTGCAGACACACGAACACTGGCCTTGAAGTGAGGAAGAACTCCTAACGTGCTGTTAGGACCCGGGATAAGGTGGGAATGTGTAAACCAATTGTGAAACCACTTTCTTAGCTATTGCCTTTCAGGATGAGAATGAGTATTAGATGTGTACAAAAATGCGAGGCCAGAAATACAAGAGAACTGTCCAACAAAAGTCAAACCCCAAATCACCAAGACCATGACTGTACAGCACAGATCTCTTCTGAATACTACTGAAAATAAGCCTGGTGTTTTTTTTTAAATATGTGTTTTAAAACATGTGTTTTAACAAAATATTTCAGGATGGCTGACACAAAGATAGCTCAAAAACATAATTACTCCAACATTCAGATCCCTTTAATCGAAGTTTCTGCTAGTGTCTTTTTTATGAGAAACTCTTTCAACCTTCCCTCTATGTTCTCATCTGATGGCAGCAGGAAAGACTTGCAACAGTTTTCCAACCACCAGCAGTGTCAGATGCACACCT